AACAAAAAAAAAAAAAAAAAAAAAAAAAAAAAAAAGAGGTGCATACACTTGCTGGTAGATGGATTGCTATCTCTGGAAGAATATGGAAGAAATTGATTACAGGAGTTGGCATTAAGGAACACTTGCTGGTAGATGGATTGCTATCTCTGGAAGAATATGGAAGAAATTGATTACAGGAGTTGGCATTATGAGGGGACCCTGATCCATGGAGATCACGGGAAAGAGATGTTTTACTATACTCACTGGCACCATGCTCAGCTAATTTTTTTGTCTTTTTAGTAGAAATGGGCTTTTACCATGTTGGCCAGGCTGCTTTTGAACTCCTAGCCTCAAGCAATCCACCTGCCTTGGCCTTTGAAAGTGCTGGGATTACAGACGTGAGCCACCGCGCCCAGCATCATACATGTATTCATATCCACATAGATTTGCATAAGTGTGTGTGTGTGTAATTTCTCTCCAGAAAGTCAAACTAAAAACCACAGTCTGTAATCAATTTACATTGTTCTGACTTCGTTTGCCAAAGAAAAATTCCTCAAAGATGTTTAAAATGATTATATTATTGTGGCATTAACATTTTTATGTAAATTGGGTGTAATTTTTCAAAATACAAGTATGTGACAAACGTGCATGCTGACTCAAATCGGTCTACACAAGAAGGCTGTTAAAAAGTCCAAAAAAGAGGCCGGGCGCGGTGGCTCAAGCTTGTAATCCCAGCACTTTGGGAGGCCGAGACGGGTGGATCACGAGGTCAGGAGATCAAGACCATCCTGGCGAACACGGTGAAACCCCGTCTCTACTAAAAAATACAAAACACTAGCCGGGCGAGGTGGCGGGCGCCTGTAGTCCCAGCTACTCGGGAGGCTGAGGCAGGAGAATGGCGTGAACCCGGGAGGCGGAGCTTGCAGTGAGCTGAGATCCGGCCACTGCACTCCAGCCTGGGTGACAGAGCGAGACTCCGTCTCAAAAAATAATAATAATAATAAAAAAATAAAAAGTACAAAAAAGGTACAGGCGCAGTGGCTCAAGCCTGTAATCCCAATACTTCGGGAGGCTGAGGCGGGAAACTTGTGTGAGTCCAGGAGTTTGAGACCAGCCTGGGCAACAAAGTGAGACCCTGTCTCTACAAAAAATAAACAAAATTAGCCAGGCATGGTGATGTGTGCCTATAGACTCAGCTACTCAGGAGGCCGAGGGCGGAGGATCGTGTGATCCCTGGAGGCAGAGGTTGCGGTGAGCCAAGATTGCACCACTGTACTCCAGCCTGGGCAACAGAGTAAGACCCTGTCTCAAGAAAAATGAAGAACATAAAGTACCAAAAAAGGTGACATTATTTCTTAAAATTTTTTTCTGGAAATTTTCAGGCAGGTCCTTTTTAACAACCATAGCAGTGGTAAACGGAACATATTTTTAAAGTTATGGATGTAAAGTGAGAAATGAAACTTGTTTCCCCTGTGCTGGTTCGTCCTGTTGGAAGTGTGGGTAGCGATAAAATGTGTTTGAAGAGAGTTGTTAACTATTTCAGTGCCAAAGTGTGTCTTACACAAAAGAGGGGAAAACAGAAAACAGCAAAATCAGAGAAGTGCACAGCCAGTCTGAGGGCATAAGGACTGCGGGAACACAGAGCAGGAAGGGATGGGCTTGCCAGGGCCCGGTGGGAGTTGCCATTTAAAAGAAGGTGTCCAGGCCGGGTACAGTGACTCATGCCTGTAATCCTGGCACTGTGGGAGGCTGAGGCAGGGGGATCACTTGAGGTCAGGAGTTTGAGACCAGCCTGGCCAACATGGCGAAACCCCATCTCTACTAAAAATACACAAATTAGCCAAGCATGGTGGTGTGCACCTGTAATCCATGCTACTTGGGAGGCTGAGGCAGGAGAATCACTGGAACCTGGGAGGAAGAGGCTGCAGTGAGCCGAGATTGCACCACTACACTCCAACCTGGGCAACAGAGCGAGACTCCATCTCAAAAAATAAATACATAAAAAATAAAATAGGGTGTCCAGGGAAGGATGTCTTTAAGTTAATAGATGTATTAATAGGTACTAGTGGTATACATTTTATGTACATTCAAATTTGTGTAAACACAAGAGGGGAATATAATAATTTGCCCAGGTCAGCGCCTCTGAAAGCCACCTGCCACCTGAGCCCTCCTGTGAACTGAGAACGCCCTGGGGTATGAGCCCTGTGGAGGAGAAGGTTCGGTGTGGGGTGCGTGGATGAGGCAAGCGGAACGGTGTGGGGCCTTCCACGGAGCCAGCTCCGAACCTGACAACACTCCAAGTTTGGGTTTGTAGCCACGAGCCACAGCCCCACCCACCCAGGTCAGAAGGTGCAAGACGGGCCAGGTTCTGGCTGGACGTGCTGAGCTGTTACTCTGAACTCTTAGAATCTTCCTGAGCCCCAAGAGGGCTGTTGTTATCCCCACTTGCCGGATGAGGAAACCAAGGCCCACAGAGACATGGCCTACCCAGGTCGCGCAGGGATGAGGCCAGGATGCCGGCCCAGGCTGTGTGGCCCCAGAGCCCACTCCCAGTCATCATGCCATCAGCAAAGCAGGGCCGCCGCCCAGGGCGGGGTGGGCATACCTTCAGCCGGTCCCGGACAGCTAGGACCTGGTACTCCAGCTCCCGGAGCTGGGGCTGGGTGGAGTCCGTGGGCCTCAGCAACTCCAGGACCTCCTGCAGAGGCCCCTCGAGGGCCACACCAGCACCCTCCTCTCTGTCCCCGGTTGCCCCTTCCTCGTGGCCTTTCTGGCTACTTGGGGCTGTGCCATTGTGGAACAGGGAGCCCTGTGGCAGGCTGGGGCTCTCCACTCCTAGGTTCCTCCAGCCAGGCTGCTCTGCAAATGGGCCTCCCGAGAGGTGGGCCATCTCTGGCAGGAGACCTGGGGACGGGGGGTCCTCCCGGGCCTCCTCTTCAATGGAGGCGTGGGGGCCGATGGCCAAGGGCAGGAAGCCCACATCTGAGGTGGACGCTGACGTGCTGGTCTCCGTGTCTCGGGGGTCCTCAGAGCTGAAGGAGTCCATCTCAGGCAGCTCCTGACTCTGGCTTCTTAGGCTGGGACCCCGGAGGTCGCTGTCAGACAGGTAGCTGAGGATGGAGGTGGCTCTTGGGCCACCGAGTAGCAAGGCCTGCTGTGTTGGCTGCTGTAGGACAGACTGGAGAGGGGACATAGGAGTGGCCTCACCAGCCACCCCAGGGACCACAGCAAGTCCCCCAGAGGGGCTTCCCCTGACAGACACCTGCTCCGCATGCCCGTGTTCTCAGGATGACTGAGGCCTGCCCAGGCGACCAGCATCCCAGAGGTGCAGACAAGACCCTGTCCCCTCTCTACACTTATCCCCCATCTCGCCTCCAACTCACTCCCGGCAGCCTCCTGACTGTTGCTCATGCCCTGTGGGCTGGGCCCCATGTGCCTGCCTCAGAACCTTTGCACTGACCGTGCTCTGGCCACTCTTCCCCCTGTGCCTTCACGGCTTGTGCCCTCGCCTCCTCAGGACCTTACTTAGGTGTCACCTCTTCTGAGAACCCTGCCCTGGACAGCCTTTTTTAAGCGGCAACTTCCACCTGGCCCCAGTGGGCCCCTTCCCTTCCTGCTGTCTCCCACAGTCCTTACGCCCCTGGGCTGACTGTGCACTTGTCGGATTCTGGTATCATCTATTTCCCCTGTAGAATTTCAGCTCCCTGAGGGCACAGTCTTTGCCTGGCCTGGAGCAGAGCCTAGCATATAATTTCATTTTTTTGTTTTGAAATAGTCTCGCTCTGTTGCCCAGACTGGAGTGCAGTGGCACTATCTCAGCTCACTGCAACCTCCGTCTCCCAGGCTCAAGCAATTCTCCTGCCTCAGTCTACCGAGTAGCTGGGATTACAGTGGCACCTCACCACGCCTGGCTAATTTTTGTATTTTTAGTAGAGACGGAGTTTCACCATGTTGGCCTGGCTGGTCTCAAACTCCTGACCTCAGGTGATCCACTTGCCTCAGCCTCTCAAAGTACTGGGATTACAGGCATGAGCCACTGCACCCAGCCTAGTTTTGAGTGAGTGAAGTGAATGAATGAATGAATGAATGAATGAATAAATGAATGAAGGGCCCGATATACACACCACAGAAACAGCAGCAACTGTCATTAAGCATTCTGAGGTTGCCGGCCCTTCTCTAGGGCCTTTGCATTACCCTCACCACACCCCATGGGGGTGGCACTGCCCTGACCTCGGAGAGGTCCTCAGGCCGCACGGGTGAATACAGTGCCACAGTGTGAATCTGGGTACATGGACACGAACGCTTATCTCTCATCAGCTGAACCAATGATAATGGTTGGTGTTCATTAACTCAGTTAACTCTCACAACAATCCCATAAGGGCAGTGCTGTTATTCTCACTTCTCTGATACAGAAATTGAAGTCCAGAGAGGGCTGGGCACGGTGGCTCATGCCTGTAATCCCAGCACTTTGGGAGGCTGAGGTGGGTGGATCACCTGATGTCAGGAGTTCGAGACCAGCCTGGCTAAGATGCTAAGATGGTAAAACCCCATCTCTACTAAAAATATACAAAAATTAGCTGGATGTGGTGGTGTGTGCCTATAATCCCAGCTGCCAGAAGGCTGAGGCAGGAAAATCGCCCGGGCCCAGGAGCGGATATTGCAGTGAGCTGAGATTGCACCACTGCACTCCAGCCTGGGCAACAAGAGTAGAAACTTCATCTCCAAAAAAAAAAAAAAAAAAAAAAGAGGTGCATACACTTGCTGGTAGATGGATTGCTATCTCTGGAAGAATATGGAAGAAATTGATTACAGGAGTTGGCATTAAGGGGAGGACCCTGATCCATGGAGATCACCGGAAAGAGATGTTTACTAGACACTCTGTCCAGTAATATTACTAGAAACGTATATATTAAGGCCAAGGCCATGGCACGGGAGTGGTAGAGCCATCCAGAGAGCCCATTGCAGATGTTCTGAAGAACCAGCCAAGCCCAGAACCCAGGCTGGGATGGAGGCTAGCAGCAGAGGAAGAAAGCATACAGAGAGAACACCAGGATCACCCCAAACGGAGGCTGAGCCTGAGGCTTGCCATGTCTGGGAGGGCCGGACTGCTTAGCCCAGCCCCCGTGTGCTGCCCCCATCCCAGGGTGACCACAGCAGCCCTGCCCTGGGGAAGGCTCACTCACCAGGTAGTATCTCCCGGAGCTGGAGTGCTCGGGGGTGTCAGTTGGCCTGGAGCCCTTCCTGCTGCCCATAGAAAACTTGCCTATGGGGCTGGGTGACACCAGGAAGCTCTCAGTATCAAACGGGCTGGAGGAGAGAACAGAAGGCCAGGATGTCATCAATTGCCCAGGGGCCATCTCAGGCCCAGAGCGGCCCAGGTTACACAGGTTACACAGGTAGATGAGTCTTCATCTTACAATATAATAGCATGGATGGTGTGCGAGGAACTCTGCTCTAAACTGTTTTTTGAGACAGGGTCTTGCTCTGATGCCCAGGCTAGAGTGCAATGGTGCCATCACAGCTCTTTGCATCCTTGAACTCCTGGAGTTCAAGTGATCCTCCTGCCTCAGCCTCCTGTGTAGCTATGACCACAGGCATGTACCACCATGCCGGACTAATTCTTGCAAATTGATTTTTATTTTTGTAAAGACAGGGTCTCACCATGTTGCCCAGGCTGGTCTCGAACTCCTGGGCTCAAGCAATCCGCCTGCCTCAGCCTCCCAAAGTGCTGGGGCTATGACCCGTGAGCCACTGAGCCCGGCCTCTGCAAGCCTTCACACAAATCCTTATTTCCACCCCCAGTGACAGCCCTCTTTGGCCTGGAAAATTACTTACAGGGAGGAAAGGCTCTGAGAGATAGGTGACTTGAACAAAAAAAAAAAAAAAAAAAAAAAAAAAAAAAAGAGGTGCATACACTTGCTGGTAGATGGATTGCTATCTCTGGAAGAATATGGAAGAAATTGATTACAGGAGTTGGCATTAAGGAGGGGACCCTGATCCATGGAGATCACGGGAAAGAGATGTTTTACTAGACACTCTGTCAAGTAATATTACTAGAAACGTATATATTAAGGCCAAGGCCATGGCACGGGAGTGGTAGAGCCATCCAGAGAGCCCATTGCAGATGTTCTGAAGAACCAGCCAAGCCCAGAACCCAGGCTGGGATGGAGGCTAGCAGCAGAGGAAGAAAGCATACAGAGAGAACACCAGGATCACCCCAAACGGAGGCTGAGCCTGAGGCTTGCCATGTCTGGGAGGGCCGGACTGCTTAGCCCAGCCCCCGTGTGCTGCCCCCATCCCAGGGTGACCACAGCAGCCCTGCCCTGGGGAAGGCTCACTCACCAGGTAGTATCTCCCGGAGCTGGAGTGCTCGGGGGTGTCAGTTGGCCTGGAGCCCTTCCTGCTGCCCATAGAAAACTTGCCTATGGGGCTGGGTGACACCAGGAAGCTCTCAGTATCAAACGGGCTGGAGGAGAGAACAGAAGGCCAGGATGTCATCAATTGCCCAGGGGCCATCTCAGGCCCAGAGCGGCCCAGGTTACACAGGTTACACAGGTAGATGAGTCTTCATCTTACAATATAATAGCATGGATGGTGTGCGAGGAACTCTGCTCTAAACTGTTTTTTGAGACAGGGTCTTGCTCTGATGCCCAGGCTAGAGTGCAATGGTGCCATCACAGCTCTTTGCATCCTTGAACTCCTGGAGTTCAAGTGATCCTCCTGCCTCAGCCTCCTGTGTAGCTATGACCACAGGCATGTACCACCATGCCGGACTAATTCTTGCAAATTGATTTTTATTTTTGTAAAGACAGGGTCTCACCATGTTGCCCAGGCTGGTCTCGAACTCCTGGGCTCAAGCAATCCGCCTGCCTCAGCCTCCCAAAGTGCTGGGGCTATGACCCGTGAGCCACTGAGCCCGGCCTCTGCAAGCCTTCACACAAATCCTTATTTCCACCCCCAGTGACAGCCCTCTTTGGCCTGGAAAATTACTTACAGGGAGGAAAGGCTCTGAGAGATAGGTGACTTGCACTCTGTCAAGTAATATTACTAGAAACGTATATATTAAGGCCAAGGCCATGGCTGGGGTGGTAGAACCATCCAGAGAGCCCATTGCAGATGTTCTGAAGAACCAGCCAAGCCCAGAACCCAGGCTGGGATGGAGGCTAGCAGCAGAGGAAGAAAGCATACAAGAGAACACCCAGGATCACCCCAAACGGAGGCTGAGCCTGAGGCTTGCCATGTCTGGGAGGGCCAGACTGCTTAGCCCAGCCCCCGTGTGCTGCCCCCATCCCAGGGTGACCACAGCAGCCCTGCCCTGGGGAAGGCTCACTCACCAGGTAGTATCTCTCCCGGAAGCTGGGAGTGCTCGGGGGTGTCCAGTTGTACAAGGAGCCCTTCCTGCTGCCCATAGAAAACTTGCCTATGGGGCTGGGTGACACCAGGAAGCTCTCAGTATCAAACGGGCTGGAGGAGAGAACAGAAGGCCAGGATGTCATCAGTGCCCAGAGGCCATCTCAGGCCCAGACGGCCCAGGTTACACAGGTTACACAGGTAGATGGTCTTCATCTTACAATATAATAGCATGGATGGTGTGCGAGGAACTCTGCTCTAAACTGTTTTTTGAGACAGGGTCTTGCTCTGATGCCCAGGCTAGAGTGCAATGGTGCCATCACAGCTCACTGCATCCTTGAACTCCTGGGTTCAAGTGATCCTCCTGCCTCAGCCTCCTGTGTAGCTATGACCACAGGCATGTACCACCATGCCGGACTAATTTTTAAATTGATTTTTATTTTTTGTAAAGACAGGGTCTCACCATGTTGCCCAGGCTGGTCTCGAACTCCTGGGCTCAAGCAATCCGCCTGCCTCAGCCTCCCAAAGTGCTGGGGCTATAGGCCGTGAGCCACTGAGCCCGGCCTCTACTAAACACTTCACACAAATCCTTATTTCCACCCCCAGTGACAGCCCTCTTTGGCCTGGAAAATTATTTACAGGGGAGGAAAGGAAGGCTCTGAGAGATAGGTGACTTGCTTAGGGCAGTGTCACAACCAACCACGCGAGATGGAACTGAATTCACACAGAGATTTCTCTGACTCCAAAGCCTTAAAGATCACTAAAGGCTTTGGCTACTCTTCAGACATCACTGTACTTAACGGATTTAAGAGGAAATGGGCCGGGTGCGGTGGCTCACACCTGTAATCCCAACACTTTGGGAAGCCAAGGCAGCCAGATAACTTGAGCTCAGGAGTTCGAGACCAGCCTAGGTAACCTGGCAAAACCCCCATCTCTACAAAAAATGAATACATGAGCTGGGCTAACGTGGTGACCGATGCACGCTTGTAGTCCCAGCTACTCAGGAGGCAGAGGTGGGAGAAGCACTTGAACCTGGGAGGTGGAGGCTGCAGTGAGCCGAGATCATGCCACTGCTCTCCAGTCTGGGCAACAGAGCGAGATTCTATCTCAGAAAAAAACAGGAAATGGAGGCCTGGGTCTCCGAGGCCAGGGCCTTGCGCATGGTCACAGGTGCAGCCTAGGAACTCCATGTTACATGGCCTTGACCCCTTTAGAAATGTTTCTCAAGGCCGGGCGCACTGGCTCACGCCTGTCATCCAGCACTTTGGGAGGCCAAGGCGGGTGGATCGCCTGAGGTCAGGAGTTCGAGACCAGTCTGGCCAACATGGCGAAACCCCATCTCTCCTAAAAATACAAAAAAATTAGCTGGGCATGGTGGCGGGCAGCTGTGATCCCAGCTACTTGAGAGGCTGAGGCTAGGGAATTGCCTAAATCTGGGAGGCAGATGTTGTAGTGAGCCGAGATCACGCTATTGCACTCCAGCCTGGGCGACAGAGCGAGACTCTGTCTCAAAAAAAAAAAAAAAAATTCTCAGCCTCTGACCACCCTGAGGGCCCTGAGCCAGATGGTGAGGGACAATGACTAGGAGCAGGAGAGCAGGATCTGGAGGCAGAAACCTCAGGCCAGTGTATGCTAAATCAAGGAAGGACACCAAGGTCTGAAGGGACAGAGAATTGCCAATTAATGCAATCTTCCTAAAGCTAACCCAAAAGGAAAAATCCTATCTCCCCACACTGAAGGATCAAAGGCAACGCTCCCTACAGCCCTCCCACCTCCACACGGCCCAGATGGAAAGGGAGGGTGCCTTGGATGGGCTACTGGCAAAACAAGGACCATCCCTCTATCTGCGTAGGGTGCCATCCACCTCGGCCTCTAACCACAGACCAAATCCTTTATCCAGACAAGGGGCAGCCCACAGGAACCTCAAACGGGGTACTTAAAGCCCAGAAACTTTGTAACCAGGCCCTTGAGCCACATGCTTGGGCCCACTCCCACCCTGCAGAGTGCTTTCTTGCCTTTTTTTTTTTTTTTCTCTGAGACAGTCTTGCTCTATCGCCCAGGCTGGAGTGTAGTGGTGCCATCTTGGCTCACTGCAGCCTCTGCCTCCCAGGTTCAAGCAGTTCTCCTGCCTCAGCCTCTCAAGTAGCTGAAACTACAGGCCCGCACCACCACGCCTGGCTAATTTTTGTGTTTTTAGTAGAGACAGGCTTTCGCCTTGTTGGCCAGGCTGGTCTCGAACTCCTGACCTTGGGTGATCTGCCCACCTAGGCCTCCCAAAGTGCTGGGATTACAGGCGTGAGCCACCGCGCCCAACCTGCTTTCTTGCTTTAATAAAGCTCTGCTGCTTCATTCCTGCATTTCATTCCTCTGCTCCTTTTGTGCATTTTGTTCAAGTCTTTGTTCAAAACGCCAAGGACCTGGACAATTCATTGTCAAGACCCTCCACCAATAACAACTGGACACCCCCAATTAGAGGCCCCTTTGAGAAGCTCAGCTGATGAGCAGGGGACACTCAGTTCAGACCCCTCGTCTGTAAAAGGGGCGCCCTTACAGAAGAACCCCCGTGTGGAACATGTACAGGGAAGGCTGGGAAGCCAGGTGAGCGCATGGGAGCACCGAGGCGAGTGATGCTCAGCCTGGCCTGTGTCCAGCCCTGCACTCAGAGCAGGTAGGTCCCCGTAGACCCTCCTGCCTCAAAGAAACTTGCTCGTAATTATCTGCACAAAGGCCTGGCTCGTGGCACCTGGGCCCGGCCTGACCAGAAGGCCTACAGCTCAGAGGCTCTGCAAGTGCCTGCTTCTCTGCCTGGGGTATCTGCAGACCCGCAGGTGCCCTGGGTCCTAGGCTTGGATGGCACTGAGCTGCCCACCACCCTGTACACTTCAGGGGCCCCTGGGCAAGAGGTATTCTCAGCCCTACCAGAGAGGTGAGGACCCTGAGGGTGCAGGTGGTCGCTCACCAGAATTCACCCAGTTCACGGGGGAAGAAGGCAGACACCCACCCTAGGCAGAGAGGAGAGAGACCAGCCCCGACTGGCCAGAGCAAGCACAGAGCAGAGGAGGCTCCTCAGCCCTCCCTCCTGCTGCCCCTGTGCCAAGGAGGAGGAAGGGAACGCCCTGGAAATGCAAGGCTTCCTTAGAACAAAGAGCTCTGGAGCCCACCACGCTCACAGGCACACTCATGGGCTCCAGGGGATCATCTCACGGACATGGGCTTCATGGGTCTGCAGCCGAGAAGGGGACGCAGGTGACCGCTCAGCCCTGGGCCTGAGGGGCAGCCAGGGTTGGCCAGGAATGAGGGGGTGGGAGCAGCAAGGAGGGCCTCCCTGGAGAGATGAGCCTCCTCCAAGGAGCCAAGCCTGGAGGCCCTGGAAAGTGTCCCCCACAAACTTCCCTGAGGCTTTAATAGTTGGGTTCAGAAGCAAGAATGGAAGCAAAACCGGAAAGGCAGGAAGGGGCTGCAGAGAAGGTCCAGGCCTCGACCTGACTGAGGGGCAGGAGTGAGGGACAGATGAGGACCTGTGAGGGCAGGGACACCCTCGGTGGAGGCTGGTGCAGGAACCCAGGGCTAGAGTGTGGTCAGGCCACCAGGGGCAGCCGGCCAGGCCTCCGCTGTCCCCAGGCGGGCGGGACTCACTTCCACTGCACCTCCAGCTGCAACTTGATGGTACCCAGCTCTGTGATGTCCACCACGATGACCTGCGGCCGTGTCGTGAAGAAGTCGGCGATGTCACACGTCACTGCGCCCACAGCCAGCGAGCCCAGGCCCCGCAGTTCCATCACCTAGGGGTGGGGACTGGAGGGTGGTGTCTGAGCTGAGCACCCAGGCACCCCAGCCCCGCCCCCAGGCCCCATCCCCACCTTGATGTCCAGGTTCTCATGCAGCGTGGGGACGAAGGTCTTCTCCTCTTCATCCCAGGTCTGACTGTCATCTGACTCGATCCGACCCTTGAGCTTCCAGCGCTGGCGGCCCAGACGCATGAGCACCTGTGAACCAGCCCGAGAGGGGCTGCGTCAGCCCAGGTGGGTGTCCCGTTGCTGCCTGCCCAGGGCCCTCCCTGCCAGACAGAGCCCCACCTGCAACCCTGGTTCCCAGCAGCTCCCGTCCCCCAAAGACCTGGCGGGGAGCCCTGAGGATTGACCCCGGAGGGTGGCCGTACCTCATAGTGGTCTCCGGGACAGAGGCGTGCGTAGCCCACCAAGCCTGGAACACAGACATGGCCAGTCTCCCCTCTGCCTTCCACTGTCCCTAACTTGGGACCACACGTCCTCGCTGGGGGTCCCCCGAGTATAGGTTTTCAGTTTCAGTGGGGTGAGGATGGGGGGAGGGGAAAACCATCACGATGGATAATGGGCAGGAGGGTGCTGGGCCCTCACACCAGCCTCAGAGAGGGGTGGGACTTGCCAGAGGTCACATGTCACATGGATGCAAAAGCCAGAGCTGGGTTCAGACCCCTGGGATTCTAGCCAATTCCCGCGCCCCTCAGCAGAAGTCTCAGGGCCTCCAGAAAGGCCTCCGCCCAACCCCTCTCAGCCCTGTTACCTTTCATCCGGATGTGGAACTCGCCCAGGTGAACCTCCAGGGCCCCCTCGATGAGCCACATGTCCTGCAAAGCCCCAGAGTTGGCTCAGGAGGCTGCCTGGGGCTAGGCCACGGGGGCCTCTAACCATCCCTGCAGCCAGACAGAGGCCCAGCTCTCCATGTCCCCACTGCCCGACCCAGCTCCACACTGCCCCTGCTGCCTGGCCCAGCTTGGCCCGGCCCACCTCGGCACACTCGTGTAGGCTGCGGCCCAGCTCCTGCAGGCTCTCTCGGGCCGCGCGGCTCGGGGGGCACCTGGCAAAGGCCCGCTGCATGCTGGAGGCACCGTCGCGCAGGCGGCACTGGACGCAGTAGTCCTCGTACAGCTCGTCCACCTGTAGTGGGCACACGGGCTGGTGGCGCTGCCCACGCGGAGGGGTGGCCCCACACCTGCCTGTCGACTTCTCCCCTCTGGGAGAGGCCCTCCCTGAGCTAAGTACCCCACTAGCCCAGCCCATGGCGGCAGTCACTACCTGTCCAGTCCCATTCAAAGCACTCACGCCTGGCCCCAGTAGGACGTGAACCCCCATAGGCAGGGACCACATCTGCCTCACCCGCCTCACCTGCCACCCCTGCCTCACCCGCCACCCCTGCCTCACCCGCCACCCCGCCTCACCTGCCACCCCTGCCACCCCTGCTTCACCCGTCTCCCATGCCTCACCCGCCACCCCCACCTCACCCGCCACCCCCGCCTCACCCGCCACCCCTGCTTCACCCCTCACCCGCCCCACCCAAGCACCCCTGCTTCACCTCGCCACCCCTGCTTCACCCGCCTCCTGCTTCACTCCGCCACCCCTGCTTCACCCGCCTCACCCGCCTCCCTGCTTCACCCGCCTCACCCGCTTCACCCGCCACCCTTTTCCACCCGCCCCTACCCGCCCCTGCTTCACCCGCCCCTGCTTCACCTGGGCCACTCCCCTGCTTCACCCGCTTCCACCCGCCTCCTCCCCTGCTTCACCCGCCACCTCCTGTTTCCACCCGCCTCACCTGCCTCACCCGCCCACCTGCTTCACCCGCTCACCCTGCCTCACCTGCTTCACCCGCCCACCTGCCTCACCTGCTTCACCCGCTCACCTGCCTCACCTGCTTCACCCGCTCTACCTGCCTCACCTTGCTTCACCCGCTCCCCGTCTCACCTGCTTCATAATTCCCGCCACCCCTCGGCTTCAATCTCGCCCACCTGCCTCTTCACCTGCTTCACCCGCCTCACCTGCTTCACCCGCCACCCCTGCTTCCACCGCCACCTGCCTCACCCGCCACCTGCTTCACCCGCCTCACCTCACCTGCTTCAATTACCACCTGCCTCACCTGCTTCACCCGCCTCACCTGCTTCCACCCGCCTCACCCGCCTTCAATTAAGCTTCACCCGCTCACCTGCTTCACCCGCCCCACCTGCTTCCACCCGCCTCACCCGCCACCCTGCTTCACCCGCCACCATTTCACCCGCCTCACTCCGCCCACTCCCGCCACCCCTGCCTCGCCCGCCACCCCCCCTCACCCGCCTCCCCGCCTCGCCCGCCACTCCTGCCTCACCCGCCACTCCTGCCTCGCCTGCTGCATACCCAGCTATTGGCAGCAACTGGCACACAGTGTGCACAGCAAAAATGAGTGAAAGGGACAAGGGAATCTGTCCCTTCTCCTCCTCTGCCTGGTTTTTCAACAGTGAAACGGGAGGTGAGTTTGTGATAGCCTGCCACCCACTGGGCAGTGCGGGGAGTAAAGCAAGATCATGAAACTGCAGACTCTAAAGCTTAAGGATCTGCTGTGCGACTTTGGGCCAACCCATGTTCCTCTCTGGACCTCTGCTTTTCCATCTGTACAATGGGCTGGGAGGGTTCAACCTTCCCAGCCATCTAAGACTGAGCATGAAGTCTTTCTGCATAAACTGAAGAAAGAGCCCACGCTGTCCTCAGAGAGTCCCACCTCGGGGCTGAGCCCCTGCCGTCCCTCAACTGTCCCAAGGCCCCTGCTTATCCTTAGCCTCCTGCAGCTGCCCCATACCCCAAGGCCCTGACCCCTGTTCTGAGGGCACCTCCCCAGCTCCTGCTAACCTAGCTGAGGCCTAGCAAGCTGGCACTGCCCTGCCCCACCCTGCAACACCCACGAGCCGGCTGACCTTGCTGATGTGAAACTCCATCTTCCGAATGTGCCTTTCCACACAGCGCGTTTGCTTCTCCCGGAAAAAGGGAAGATGTTTGCCAAGTCGCCCGGGCCACCCGCCGGCCCTGCTTGCCCCTGCCACCCTCCTGCAGGTCCTAACTCAGAGAATGGGCTTCAGTGCTGGGCCGGGCCCTCACCATCCCTGAGGAAGGCTCATCGCAGAGCCTCAGCCTTCCCATTCCTAAAATGGGGAGGAAACCCAGGTATTCTGCCCATCGGGCAGCCAGGAGGATGCAATGAGGCGCAGTCATTCTCATCCAGCAGGGCCCCGCCCACCTCACTCACCATATGCAGACTCACCTTGTCCAGGTCGTAATAGAAAGCCTGCGGGGGAGGAAAGGAAGGCGGAAGAAGCTGTCAGAGTCCCACATGTTCCTCCAAGGCCTATGAGGCTTTATGCTGGCAGTGCCTGAGCTCAGAGTCAGAGGACAGAAAGCCATGTCTACAGCCACCCCCACTCCTTCCTCTACCAATGGCAGGCTGCTGTCCACGCCAAGGACAGCACTGATTAAACACATGCACGTTGGATGAGGCAGTTCTAGGTCTGGCTCTTCTATTTCCCAGCTGTGTGTCCCAGGCAAGTCATTCAACCTCTCTGGGCCTCATTTCCTGCTATGTAAAGCAGGGTGGGAGAAGTGCCTGCCTCATAGGGAGAAAAAAGGACACAGCAGGCCCTTGACAAAATGGGAACCACTGGGATTGAAGGGATGGCCTCAGCCATGACCAAAAGAATGTGAGGGGGATGGAAGCGGGAGGGGCACATGGCACAGAAGTTCAAGCCTTAATGGTAAATTCCTAAGTCTATCCATTCCAGAGACCAGGGTGCGACCAAGACAAATAATATATCATCAGGGCAGGCAAACCTTTCCATAGGTTTATAAAGAGCCAGATAGTAAATATGTCAGGCTTGGCAGGCCAGGGCACCCCATGCCAAGATCTATAAATTAGAACCATCCTGGTCAGGCGCAGTGACTCACGCCTGTAATCCCAGCACTTTGGGAGGCTGAGGTGGTCAGATCACTTGAGGTCAGGCGTTCGAGACCAGCCTGGCCAACATGGCGAAACCCTATATCTACTAAAAATATAAAAACTAGCTGGGCATGGTGGTGCATGCCTGTAATCCCAGCTACTTGCCAGACTTGAGGCAGGAGAATCACTTGAACCTCAGAGGTGGAGGTTGCAGTGATCCAAGATCGCGCCACTGTACTCCAGCCTGGGCAACAGAGCGAGACTCAATCTCAAAAAAAAAAAAAAAAGTAGGACCATCTAAAACATACACATCTTTGCCTACCTTAGAGTTACTTCTAGAACCAAGAAAGAGAATGTGAAGTGGGCCTAAGGCATGTGAAGTGCTGTACCTGCCGGTGGGGTTAAATTCATCAGGGTCAAAGTTCTGTCCTAACTAAGCAACTCTGCCATCATAGCGGGAAAGCAGCCACAGACAATATGTACATGAACAAGTGTGACCAAGAAACTTTTCTTTAAACAAATGTTTAAAAAACTCTTGTTTTTTTAGTGACTCTAATTTTAAAATATAGTGACTCTAATTTTCACTGGAGTGGAGATTACAGTCATTATGTCTGAACCTAGAGGGGTTACCATGAGGTTGGAGATCCACCAGGAAGAAAAAGTAAGCTGTAGGAGAGTATGTAAATTGACATTTCATTTTTGTAAGACAATTATTAACTCACAACTGCTAAACACATTTACATGATTATGTGACCAGAGAGAAAAATATGGAAAGATCAATACAAGATTGTTCTCAAGGGTTAAACAGGGTGGGACACAGAAGATTGAATGGAGGAGGGCATCAATCGAGAGAGAAAGGATTCAACCCCAAAAAGTCCCATGTATGTATTTATGTGAAATTGTACGTATACGATAAAGAAATAAAAATTCCATTTAAGCCAGGTGAAGTGGCTCACACCTGTAATCCTAGCACTTTGGGAGGCCAAGGCAGGAGGATCACTTGAGCCCAGGAATTCAAGACCAGGCTGGGCAACATAGCAATACCCCATCTCTACAAAAAATTTAAAAATTATCTGGGCATGGTGGCACACACCTGTAGTCCCAGCTACTCGAGAGGCTGAGGTAGGAGGATTGCTTGAGCCCAGGAGTTCAAGGTGATGGAGAGCTATGATCGTACCACTGCACTTCAGCCTGGGTGACAGAGTAAGACCTTATCTCTTTAAGAATAAATGAATGAATGAATGAATGAATGAATGAATGAATGAATAAATAAAATCTTTTTAAAATTAAGAAACAATTAAAACTTCATTTAAGCAATAAATAGGACTGGCGTGGTGCCTCATGCCTATAATCCTAGCATTTTGGGAGGCCAAGGTGAGTGGATCACCTGAGGTCAGGAGTTCGAGACCAGTCTGTCCAACATGGTGAAACCCCCTCTCTACTAAATAAAAAATACAAAAATTATCCTGGCATGATTGTGTGTGCCTGTAATCCTAGCTACTCGGGAGGCTGAGGCAGGAGAATCACTTGAGCCTGGGAGACAGAAGTTGCAGTGAACCGAGATCTTGACGCTGCACTCTAGGCTGGGTGACAGAGCGAGACTCCATTCCGGAAAAAAAAAAAAAAGAAATAAACAAAGAGGAAAGATCCCAAGCCTTTGAAAAGAAGAGTGACTACCCAGCAACGTCTCAAAAGCCAACATCTTTTTTAAATGAGAACCAGCAGTGTCATAGGAGCAGGACCCAACATAGGCATCTTGCTGTGTGGCTCCAGTGCGGTCACTGTGCCCTGGCCTCAGTGTGCCCATCTATGACATGGCAGCAGCTAAAACATACATGTATTTATACTCCTGCCTACTTTAGAGTTACTTCTAGAAAGGAAAGAATGGGAAAGGAAGTCCACGGGGTGAGACTTGCTATACCCGCGTGAGAAGAGGGGCGGGTGCTGGAGCTGGATGAGATCTTGGCAGCACCTCCCACCACCATCTGCTGCTGGTCACCCACCCAACTGCCCACCAAGGGTGAGGCATGCTAAGCTTGGCAGACCTTTCCCTCCCCAAGTCCCTGGCACACGCATGAGGCTGGGCCCTTACCTCTCCCACCCTGCCCACTCCAAGACCCTCTCTGCTGGAGCCAGGATACAGAGAAAGCCGCTTGCTGGCTTGCTTATTTCATTCATTCATTCATTCATTCATTCATTCATTCATTCATTCATTGAAACAGAGTCTGGCTCTATCATCCAGGCTGGTGTGCAGTGGTGTGATCTCACCTCACTGCATCCTCCGCCTCCTGGGTTCAAGCTATTCTCCTGCTTCAGCCTCCCGCGTAGCTGCGACTACAGCTGCCCACCACCATGCCTGGCTAATTTTTGTATTTTTAGTACAGATGGGATTTCATCATGTTGGCCAGGCTGGCTTCAAACTCCTGATCTCAAGTGATCCACCCGCCTTGGCCTCCCAAAGTGCTGAGATTACCGGCGTGAGCCACTGCACTGAGCCGCTGGATGCTATTTTAGTAGAAAAACTCATCTCCCCTCCTCAATTTCCCAGTCCCTCAGTCAATCTAGTGGCCTGCTCTGCACGTTGGTGCTTTGGAGGAGGGATTCTGGGAAACACTGGCTGGGAGGAGAATCCCACAGCAGTAAGGCCTCCTTGCTTTTGTTTCCAAATCTAGTTCATTAAGGACATGTGGGGTTTTCGCAAGGCAGCAGCGGAGACTTCCCAGATAAAAGGAAGATCCTCCCGCTGGAAGGATGAAGTCCCTGAGCAGTGGGATCCTAGCCATGTCACCAGATAAAATACAGGACACCTAATTAAAATTAAAATTTCCAATAAACAAGGAACAATTATTTTCGCATAAGTATGTCCCAGAGATTACATGGGATATACTTATACCTAAACAAACTTGTGATTTGTCTGAAAAACCAAAATGGGAGGCCGGGCACAGTGGCTCATGCCTGTAATCCCAGCACTTTGGGAGGCCGAGGCAGGCAAATCACCTGAGGTCAGGAGTTTGAGACCAGCCTGACCAACATGGTGAAACCTTGTCTCTACTAAAAATGTGAAAAAACAGCTGGGTGTGGTGGTGGGTGCCTGTAATCCCAGCTACTCAGGAGGCTGAGGCAGGAGAATCGCTTGAACCTGGGAGGCAGAGGTTGCAGTGAGCTGATATCGCGCCACTGCACTCCAGCCTGGGCAACAGAGTGAGACTCCGTCTCAAAAAAAAAAAAAAAAAAAAAATTTTAATGAGGTATGCTATTTGTGAGTGTGAGTGTGTGTGTGTGTTCATGTGTGTGTTGCTAAGTCTGTCTCTGCTAAGGGAAAGGCAAAAACCAAAGCAGGTGAGCCTTGAGCAACACAGGGCCCAGGGCCAGCCTCAAAGACATTGCCTTGGCTGGACACGGGAGGACTGCTGGAGCCCAGGAGTTCAAGACCAGCCTAGGCAACATGATAAGACCCTGTATCTAAAAAAACATGTTAAAAATTGGCCGGGCATGGTGGTGCACGCCTGTAGTCTCAGTTACTTGGGAGGCTGAGGTAAAAGGAACGCTTGAGCTCAGGAGGTGGAGGTTGCAGTGAGCCGGGATTGTGCCACTGGACTCCAGCCTGGGCAACAAAGGGAAATCCTGTCTCAAAAAAAAAAAAAAAAGACGCTCCCCTGATGATGGCAGGAAGCGCTGCCTGTCAGCTGCACACTGAAGGAACACACAGGCTTCATCAAGGACAGCAGCAGGGGCCACTGTGACATACCCGAGATGTGACACCTGACCCACTTTCCTGGCATTACAGAAGCCATCTGAAGTCCAGGTCACCTGATGGCCAAGGTCTATAAAGTAGGACCACCTAAAAGAAATGCAGCTCTATACACTGCCCACCTTAGCGTTACTTCTAGAACCGAGAGAGAGTGTGACGTGGGCCTAAAACGTGTGAACTGCTGTATGTGCCAAAGTGAAGTTAGCACAACATAAAGAGGCTATTCCATAAATCTCTAATTCTGAGACAGAGTCACACCGTGACATAGGCTAGGGGGAACGCAGGTTCATCTTTTACTCCTGGCCGAGGCTATCTGGGTGGAAAGCAGGCAGGGAGGGGTCTCACCAGCCTGGAATTCCTCCTGGTGTCCTTGTGGCATCCAGACAGGTGGTCCAGCTCAGCCTGCTGCACGCACAGATACTCCCTGCAAGGAGAGCGAGGAAGAGTTTCAAATGGAAGAGGAACAAGAAAGGGAAAGGAAACAGGCCAAATGGACAGTGTCCCCGTGTGGAGAGTAGACACGGGGCTCAGCGGGGCTCAGAGGCAGGTAGGAAGCCCAGCCCCCTCACACTGGGGGCTGTGTGCCCAGCACTGTGCAAAATTGGTTATGGGGAAGTTCCTAGTTAATTCCCCCACCAGGCCCACAAGTAGGTCCTACTGTTATTATGTGCATTTTATTTATTTATTTATTGTTTGTTTGTTTGTTTATTTGAGGCAAAGTCTCCCTCTCCCTCTCTTGCCCAGGCTGGAGTGCAGTGGTGTGATCACAGCTCACTGCAACTTCTACCTCCTGGGTTCAAGTGATTCTTGTATCTCAGTCTCTTGAGCAGCTGAGACTATGGGTGTGTGCCACCACACCTGGCTGATTTTTGTATTTTTAGTAGAGACGGGGTTTCACCATGTTGGCCAGGCTGGTCTCGAACTCCTTGACCTCAGATGATCCATCTGCCTTGGCTTCCAAAAGGGCTGAGATTACTAGCATGAGCTACTGCGCCCAACCTAGTATATGTATTTTAAAGACAGACAAACCAACCCTCAAAGGCAGCAAGTACCCGAGCCCTGGTCACACAGCAGAGAAGAGGCTGACCCAGGTCTGAAACCACACAGTGGCCTTCAGAGCCCAAAATCTTCACCCCCTCCCAAGCAGGGGCCCAGCTCATGGGGAGGTCATCATGACCCACCTCCCTCAAGGTCAAGGGTCTAGGCCGGGCGCGGTGGCTCACGCCTGTAATCCCAGCACTTTGGGAGGCTGAGGTGGGTGACCACAAAGTCAGGAGATCGAGATCATCCTGGCTAACACGGTGAAACCCCATCTCTACTAAAAATACAAAAAAATTAGCTGGGTGTGGTGGCACACACCTGTAGTCCCAGCTACTCAGGAGGCTGAGGCAGGAAAACTGCTTGAACCCTGGAGGCAAAGGTTGCAGTGAGCCGAGATGGCGCCATTGCACCCCACCCAGGCAACAGAGCGACTCCGTTCCAAAAAAAAAAAAAAAAAAAAGAGGAGGGGTCTAGATCTGGGGGGGCAGAGCACAGCTGAGTCACCCCACGAAGGTCACTCACCCTCTCTGGGCTCTACTGACACCACCTCAAATGTGGAAAAGAGAGCTTCTGCCAGGCTGCTACTCACTGAGGTGCTGAGCTCTCTGAGAAGAAGCAGCTGCCTTGGCCCCAGACAAGTCTCAAACATGTGGTCCTTAAAGGACACAGAATCTGCCCTTCAGAAACATGCTTTACCCTCCATGCACATCCCAGCTCCAACTCTGCACAATCCCAGCTCGCTGCAACCTCCACTCCTACAGGGCTTTGCCATATTGCCATGCTGGTCTCGAACTTCTAGGCTCAAGGAATCCACCTGCCTCAGCCTCCCAAAGTCCTGGGATTACAGGGTGGCCACCACTGTGCCCGACCAAGGATGTATATTTTGAAAACCATTTCATTCTAAGGTGGTTTCACTTTTTTTTTTTTTTTTTTTTTTTTTTGAGTCTTGCTCTGTTGCCTAGGCTGGAGTACAATGGTGCGATCTTGGCTCACCACAACCCCCACCTCCCAGGTTCAAGTGATTCTCCTGCCTCAGCCTCCTGAGTAGCTGGGATGACTGACATGCCCCATCATGCCCAGCTAATTTTGTATTTTTAGTAGAGACGGGGTTTTACCATGTTGGTCATGCTGGTCTCAAACTCCTGAACTTGTGATCCAGCTGCCTTCGCCTCCCAAAGTGCTAGGATTATAGGTCCACCGCACCTGGCCTGGTTTCAACTTTTAATTGACTCTGGTTCCTCTTTCGGGTGCCCCGTCTATAAATAAGAGATGTAGGGGCTGGGCGTGGTAGCTCAAGCCTGTAATCCCAGCACTTTGGGAAGCTGAGACAGGTGGATCACAAGGTCAGAAGTTCAAGACTATCCTGGCCAATATGGTGAAACACCATTCTACTTAAAATACAAAAAAAATTAGCCAGCTGTGGTGGCAGATGCCTGTAGTCCCAGCTCCTTGGAAGACTGAGGCATGAGAATAGCTTGAACCCAGGAGGCGGAGGTTGCGGTGAGCTGAGATCGTGCCACCGCACTCCAGTCTGGGTGACAGAGTGAGACTCTGTCTCAAAAAAAAAAAGATGTAGGTAGGAGAGAATTTAGGGTCTAAGTACCACTGTATCTGGGGAAAATCACTCTGGGAAACCACTTTTTGGCCCACAAGGCCCCCTGTCATCTGGTCCCCATTGCCCGGTGACCTCATCCTCTTTCCTTTGGCTCTAACCACGCTGGCCTCCTTGCTGCGCCCCAGGGCTTTTGTGTATGTGGCTAGCCTGGCCTGGAATGTTCTTTTCCCATTATCTGCATGGCTCACTCCACCCCTTCAGGCATGTGCTCCAATGTCACCTTCTCAGCAAGGCCTTCCCTTCCAACTGCCCAATTTAAAATGAACCCTCCCTGCCTCCGCCTTCTTACCCTGGCCTGTTTTCCTCTGTGGCCCTTAACACTATCTGATATTCTCTGTCCTTTTCTTTTCTGCATTGTGTATTGTCTGTGTCTCTCCCACCAGGAGTCAGCTCCACGGTGGGTAGGGATTTTGTGTATTTAGTTACTTCTGTCCCCTGGCTTGGTACTCTGTAAGCCTCAATAAATATTTGTGGGCTGAGCATGGTGGCTTATGTCTATAATCCCAGCACTTTTGGAGGCCAAGGCAGGCAGATCACTTGAGTCAGGAGTTCAAGACCAGCCTGGCCAACATGGCGAAACCCTGTCTCTACTAAAAATACAAAATATTGGCTGGGCACGGTGGCTCACGCCTGTAATCCCAGCATTCTGGGAGGCTGAGACGAACGGATCACCTGAGGTCAGGAGTTTGAGACCAGCCTAGCCAACATGGCAAAACCCTATCTCTACTAAAAATACAAAAAATTAGCCAGGCATGGTGGCAGGCGCCTGTAATCCAGCTACTCGGTAGGCTGAGGCAAGAGCTACTCTCGGCCTCTGCTTTCTCATCTGTAAAATAAGGAGCCTAGGCCAGGTGTGGTGGCTCACGCTTGAACCCGGGAGACAGGGGTTGCAGTGAACCGAGATCATACCATTGCACTCCATCCGGGACAACAAGAGTGAAACTCCATCTCAAAAAAAAAGGAAAAAAAAAAAAAAATATATATATATATATATATATATATAAGCCCGGTGTGGTGGTATGCACCTATAGTCCCAGCTAGTCGGGAGGCTGAGGCAGGAGAATTGCTTGATCCCCAGGGGCAGAGGCTGCCGTGAGCCGAGATTGCACCATTGCACTTGAGCCTGGACAACAGAGCAAGACTCCATCTCAAAAAAAAATTTGTAGAGTGACTCATTCTTCCTGTGCGGGTCTCAGCCCAGCTCATCAGTCGGTCTCTGAGCAAGTCTGTCCTTCACTCAGACACCCACCGCCCTGACCTCCTGTGTGTGTGAGCTCACAGTTCAGGCTCCCACTGCGGGGCCTTTGCCCGTGCTGTTGCCTCTGCCTACGACGCTTGTCCCCTAGAGGTGAGCATGGTGGCGCCTTTTCAGACCGTTTGTGTGTCAGACACTGTCAGCACCTCCTCGGTGACTGCCAGGATCATCCTGTCTGCTGAGGCCCTGGACACACCGTCTCTCTGTTACCCTTCTTCATTGCACTCAGCACAGGTGGAAGTTCCATGATGGACTGCATGATTGATTGCATTGCTTCTTGATTGATTGCATCAAATCTGCTCCTCTGCACTGCATGCTCCACAAGACCAGAGTCCTCCTGCCTTAGTCACTGCCAGGTTTCCAGTGCCCAAGAACCGGGCTGAGCACATGGCTGCACCGTGACATACTTGTTGACTAAACGAATGACCAGGAACTTAACCTGTCACCTCTTGTAGACAAGACCCACCCACGCTTCCCCAGGAAGAGACAGAGAGGAGGCGAGGTAGAAGAATGCACTTCTTAGAAGCAGCACACAGCCCAGCCTTACTTGAGGCCTCTTTTCAATGCTTCGAAGATCTTCTTCACCTGCTGGGGCTTGGGGTCTGCACAGACCGACCCCTTTCGCAGCGTGCTGTACAACTTGGAGGATTTTGCAGGCATTCGCGATCTCACGGAGTTCCTGTTGATGGACTTTCTGTGAGAAGGGGTGGAGAGGAAGAGAAGTCAGAGCAGGGTCCTGACAAAGCCCTCTCCAGGGGCAGGCACTTTGGAAATAGTGACCAGAGCCACAGGGAGTCAGGAGACCCAGCTCAGTCCCACCCCCATCACCACCAAGCAGTGTGGTCTCCAGAAAGTTATGGAGCCTCTCTGAGCCTCTGCTTTCTCATCTGTATAATAAGGATCCGGGGCCGGGCACGGTGGCTCACACTTGTAATCCCAGCACTTTGGGAAGCTGAGGCAGGTGGATCACCTGAGATCAGGGGTTCAAGACCAGTCTGGCCAACGTGGCGAAACCCTGTCTCTACTAAAAATATAAAAATTAGCCAGGTGTGGTGGTACGTGCCTATAATCCCACTTACTCCAGAGGCTGAGGCACAAGAATCGCTTGAACCTGGGAGGCGGGAGGTTTCAGTGAGCCGAGATTGCACCACTGCACTCCAACCTGGGTGGCAGAATGAAACTCCGTCTTAAAAAATAAATAAATAAAAATAAGGAGCCTGGGTTTGAGGGTTAAAAGTAATAAAGCCCTTCTGCCATGGCTGCCACTGGAGAGCAGCAGCCTTGGCTCTGCACTACCCTATGGCCATGGGCCTCAACAAGGACCACAAGGTGACCAAGAGCATGAGCAAGCCCAGGCACAGCCACCACAGCGGGCGTCTGACCAAATACACTGAGTTTGTGTGGGACATGATCTCAGAGCTGTGTGGCTTTGCCTCATACAAGCAGGGCGCCATGGAGTTACTGAAGGTGTCCAAGGACAAACGGACCCTCAAGTTCATCAAGGAAAGGGTGGGGATGCACATCTGTACCAAGAGGAAGCGGAAGGAGCTGAACAATGTTCTGGCTGCCATGAGGAAAGCCACTGCCAGGAAAGACTAAGCCCCATCCCCTGCCCTCTCCCAGAAATAAAGAACAGCTTGACAAAAAAAAAAGTAATAAAAGTCTGAGATCAGAAATGAACTTACAGCAAGAAATATAATCAAGCAGCCCAAATGCCAATGCTCTCTGATCAGCATGCTCTGCCTGTGCAGGCAAAGCCGTATAGGAGGCCAAGTCATAGTCCTGTGCTTTACCCACGGGGAGGCATCTGTTGGCTTTACCTGCCCAGCTTCCATCCCCTCCCTCTAGTAGTAGCACCTCAATTTTCCTCTGGGGAACCTCCCCAGCTTTGCTTTTTATACTTGTGGTTTGGGGGAAAGGTAGCCTGACCAATCAACATGCACACACACATTGCACACGCACACGTGCACACGAGCATTCTTCCGCAAATCCACATCCTAGGCCTGCGCTAGTCAACATATTCTGCTCCCCTAGGCCAAGAAATATGGGGATCAAACCTGGCCAGTAGCCAGCCAGGAGTTCAGAATTCACAGAAGGGAGAAGGGTTTTTTCCCCTGGCATTGCTAACCTGGGGAACATACACCCGGGACTTCCAGCCTCCTCCATTTGCCACCATGTAGGGAAACTGGAGCCAACACAGAGAGGAACAAACAGAGTCAGGCCAAATCTCTATGACAGTAAGTTCCTGGATCCAGCTATGTCTAAAGCTGAACCTGCCCATGGGCTTTGCAGTTACATGAGCCAACTGACTCTTTTTTAGCTTAAGCCAGCTGGAGTTGAGAGTGTGGACTGGATGATCCTAAAAACTGCCTTTCAGTGGTGACGGCTGGGTCCCCCAACCTTTAGCGATGTAGCAGCATCTCAAGACTGATTACAGGAGTACGAGGCCAGGGCACCCTCATCACAGCACAGAGCTGGTTTCCCTGGCATCTGAGCCCCTTCTCAGGATCCCATAACTTATCCATGAGGCTTGAGGACCAGGCTGGCTGATGAAGCCTTTGCTCACCAACAGATGAGTTGAAGTCCGCTCTTAGCCCTCTAAAGCCATCGGCCAGGTGCCCTGGCACCAGGTATCACTTAATGACCACATTCTCACAAAAGAGACATGGCAGAAATGACTCTTAGAACGAACTTGGGCATCAGTTCTTTTTTTTTTTTTTTTTTTAGACGGAGACTCGCTGTCACCCAGCCTAGAGCGCAATAGTGCAATCTTGGCTCACTGCAACCTCCACCTCCCGGGTTCAAGCGATTCTCCTGCCTCAGCCTCCCAAGTAGCTGAGATTACAGGCATGCACCACCACACCTAGATAATTTTTGTATTTTTAGTAGAGACGGGGTTTCACCATGTTGTCCAGGCTGGTCTCGAACTCCTGACCTCAAATGATCCACCTGCCTCGGCCTCCCAAAGTACTGGGATTACAGGTGTGAGCCACCGCGCCTGGCTCGGCATCAGTTCTCACAGGGGACTACTGGCCCTTCTCTTCCAACTCCTCCTCTTCCCAGGGGCAGGAATAAGGGTATGCTGGAAGCAGTTTCAACCCACCCCAAAAGCTGACTGAGCAACAGAAGAGAAGGAACAGACCCTGAACAGCCTTGTGAAGCAGACCGCCTGCCACACACATGCCCTCATTCACCCATTGGCTCCAGACTGCAGAGAGAGAGAGGAATAACCAATCTTAAGTAAGCACCTGCATTTTGGGGGTCCTTTTACCAAAACAACTTCATCTCTACACTAACACACCACCCAAGCCTCTGTCTTTTCATCGGTAAAATGGGACCACATAATATATCAGAGGGTGGTGCTGAGAATTCTATTAGATGCCAGGCCCAAAATATGGCACAAAGGAGACCTTTGACATGCAAGCTATTGTCAGAATCGTCACATCCTATCTGTATCTTTCCCCTGGCTCACAGCTTAGAAAACATTAGGTGCGGGCTGGGTACTGTGGCTCACACCTGTAATCCCAGCACTTCGGGAGGCCAAGGCGGGTGGATCAACCGAGGTCTGGAGTTTGAGACCAGCCTGGCCAACCTGATGAAACCCCGTCTCTGCTAAACAAAAAATTAGCTGGGCATGGTGGTGGACACCTGTAATCCCAGCTACTGGGGAGGCTGAGGCAGGAGAATCGCTTGAACCTGGGAGGCAGAGGTTGCAGTGAGCCAAGATCATGCCACCGCACTCCAACCTGGGCAGCAAGAGCGAAACTCCGCCTAAAAAAAAAAAAAAAGAAAAGAAAATATTAGGTGCTTCGTAAATATTAAGCTCAACTGAATGGAGGAAAATATAGTATCCCAAGGGGATTGGAGAACAGAGATCCTGGCCCCTGCAGGCAGAGTGGGACAGCGAGTGCACCCCTGGGTGTTCCCAGCTGGGGACAGAGGGAGCAAGGGTGGAGAGGGGCACCTGTTGTGCTCTGGGAGTGGACAGCAAGGAGCAAGGTTTGACCCAAGCAGAAGTGGGAGTCTGCAGAGGGCCTGGACCCAGGGCCTCTCTAGCTTTGGAGACCCAGGATGTGTGAGAGGAGCAGAAGGGCAGCTCCCAGAGAAAGTCCAGCTTCCAACACCTTTACAATGACAAGTAATGTCTGTAGAGCAGAGAAACTAAGCTCAGGCCAGGGCTACTGGGCCGCTGAACAGCTGATACCACAAGCCCAAGGGCCCCGGGAGCTTAGTGAGAACACACGAGCTTAAGTAACTGGGGCAACTGCAGCCGCCAGGAGCTCGCTAAGGGCTTTATAGAAATATCTCAACTTCTACAACCACCCTAGGAGACAGGTATTTTATATATATATATATATTTTTTTTTTTTTTGAGACGAAATTTCGCCCTGTCAACAGGCTGGAGTGCAGTGGCATGATCTCTGCTCACTGCAACCTCCGCCTCCCAGGTTCAAGCGATTCTCCTGCCTCAGCCTCCCCAGTAGCTGGGATTAGAGGCATGTGCTACCACGCCCAGTAATTTTTGTTTTTTTTTTTAAAGTAGAGACGAAGTTTCACCTTGTTGGCCAGGCTGGTCTCGAACTCCTGACCTCAGGTGATCTGCCCGCCTTGGCCTCCCAAAGTACTGGGATTGCAGGCATTAGCCACCGCACCCGGCCATTTGTATATATTTAATGTTAATTGATGCTTTCCAAAGCCCAGAGGGGCTGTGCTCCCTCTTCCCCTTGCCCTCCCTGGGGCCCCATCACCCACCTTTTGAACCGGGCCCTCCGCAAGGTTGCCATCTCAAGGCTGGCAGAGACGGTCAGGGCTGCAGCCTCGGGGAAAGGCGGGTTTCTGACAGGTTAGAGACCCCGGCAGGCAGGCAGCAGGCAGTGGGGCAGGCAGTTTGGAGGTGGGGCTGCAGGAGCCCGCTCACTCCCACCTCCCACCGCCAGTCCCCAGCAGGTGTGCACCCTTGGCCTAGCCCTGCTTCCATCCACCTGGGGACCTTATACCCTCACTGCTGCAGCCATACCTGAATGCACCTGCTCCTGGGAAAGCTCTGAGCCCTGTGCTCCTTGTCTGAGGTTCAACAGGCACAGTGGCCACTCTGAGGGCCCGCCCACCCGGGGAAGGTGATGCGCGTGCAGCCTCCAGATGGCCAAATCAGGCTACATGCCTGGCCCAGGTGTCACAGAAGCCGGGGCAGGGAGAGCCTCTGGGGCCGGATGTTTCACCAGGTCTGGGAGGACTCAGTAAATATTAAACAGCCCCTGGCATGCCAGATAAGCTTCCAGACGGGCACATGCAACCCGCCGGCCCCAGCCCTCATGTGAGGTTGCTACAGCAGTCCTTCTGCCTGTTGTGGTTGGCAGAGGCCTTGGTACTCGGCTGTTGCAAGTGCAGGCTCTGGAGGCAGACAGGGCTGGGCTCAAGTCCTGCACCTGCCCTCAGCCTCCAGGCGGGGCAATTATAGGACTGACTGCACAGGCTTCAGGTGAAGACTCCATGCAACAAGGACATGAGCCAACCATTTACCCAGGTGCCTGGTGGTGTTGGCTACTCGGTGATGATGACAGGCATGCACTCGGCACTTGCCAAGTTCAAGCTCTGCTCTCAGCGCTTTTGTTTTTTTTTTTTAACTGAGACGAGGTCTTGCTCTGTCTTCCAGGCTGGAATGCAGTGGCGTAATCTCGGCTCACTGCAGCCTCCGCCTCCTGGGCTCAAGTGAGCCTCTCACCTCAGCCTCCCGAGTAGCTGTGACCACAGGCATGCACCATTGCACTCAGCTAATTTTTTGTATTTTTGGTGGAGATGGGGTTTCACCATGTTGCCCAGGCTGGTCTTGAATTCCTGAGCTCAAGTGATCCGCCCGCCTTGGCCTCCCAAAATGCTGGGATTGCAGGTGTAAGCCACCGTGCCCGCCTGGCCTGCTCTTGGTGCTTTACCTGTATGGACCCATTCCTCCGGACAGCTTTTGAGGTCAGGCCCCCTGGTACAGTCCAGGAGACAGAACTTGTATCACTTGCCTCTGGCTCCAGAGTCTGTGTGCTTGACAGCATCACAGGCAGGGCTGGATATGAGCCGCCTCTTTCTCCAGCCTCCTCTCCTTGAAAATTCATGGCTGTTATTTCGTTTTCACACCCACACTCCTTAGCCATCCCAACAGAGGAATTCCCAAGCTGAGGAGGATGTCCCAGTGGCTCCTGGCTCAGGGAGTACCTGCCTGACCGCCTGGGGGAGGGAGACCTGGCTGAGGAGGGGCAGGAAAGGGGGAAGGGCAGCCATGCCTGTCAACTGGGACAGAATGGGACAGTATCAGGGCCTGGCCCTCTCCTCCTTCATCCTCTCTGTTTATCCTCTTATCTCTCTATCCTCCCACCCCCCAGGTCCAGCTCTTGGGAAATGGCCTTATTATGTCAATCATTCACATCTTAGTATAAAATTTCCCCACCAGGTTACTTCCCCAAGTGAGCCATCTGACTGTGGAATAAAAAGCCCTGTCTATAGTGAAACGGGTTTCGAGGTGCCAGGGTGGGGGTCCAGGTGGGGGTGGGCACAGAGGGGGCATCAGCCCATCCTCTCCACACAGAGCCCCGCCCTCCTGCCAGGTTGTCTGCCTGGACAGTGTGGCTGCACTTCCGCCTGCTCCGGTTACCGGGGAACAAGGCCAGAAGGTGGGGCCTGAAACCCAATCATGCTCCAGCCCTGGCTCCAAGACCCCAGGGAGCTCGACGGAGGCAGGAAGTTAAAAATAGATGCACCGCTTCCCCGTTGGCGTGGGCAGCTTCTTCCTTGCCCTCACACAAGGGGGCCACAGAGGCCGAGGCCGGTGGGGGCTGCCCAGGGACCTCTGAACCAGCCCAGGCCCAGCATCCTCTGGAATCCCTGACAATCAGGTGGGGGACAGGAGGGGTCCGGGATACTTAGAGCCATCAGGGCTGTCTTTCCTATACTAGGACTTAGACACCATGGGACCCTTGCTGACAGCCAGCGAGCCCTGGTATCAAGGCGATGGATCACCTTTGTCCTCCTTCCTCCCAAAGAGCTGATCCCAGGCATCCAGGACGGGGCCAATAAGAGGCAGGGGCCCACCGTGGGGGCACTCTCTGGGCAGAGCTCCCCTCTAGGGCCTGAGGGGACATGTCCCATGGATGCAGGACATTCAGAGGCCCCCACAGGCCTGGCAGGAGGAGAGCTGCAGGCAGGGCCAGTTGTGAAATTTGTGGAGTCTAGTGCGAAATAAAAATGCAAGGCTCTTTATTCAAAATTTATTAAGAATTTTGGGCTGGGTGTGATGGCTCATGCCTGTAATCCCAGCACTTTGGGAGGCCAAGGAGGGTGGATCACCTGAAGTCAGGAGTTCGAGACCAGCCTGGCCAACATGGTGAAACCCCGTCTCTACTAAAAATACAAAATTAGCCGGGTGTGGTGGCATATGCCTGTGATCCCAGCTACTCGGGAGGCTGAGGCAGGAGAATCACTTGAACCCGGGAAGTGGAGGTTGCAGAGGGCTGAGATTGCGCCATTGCACTCCAGCCTGGGCAATAAAAGCAAAACTCTGTTTCAAAAAAAAAAAATTGGCCAGGCGCGGTGGCTCAAGCTTGTAATCCCAGCACTTTGGGAGGCCGAGACGGGTGGATCACGAGGTCGGGAGATCAAGACCATCCTGGCTAACACGGTGAAACCCTGTCTCTACTAAAAAATACAAAAAACTAGCCGGGTGAGGTGGCGGGCGCCTGTAGTCCCAGCTACTCGGGAGGCTGAGGCAGGAGAATGGCGTGAACCCGGGAGGCGGAGCTTGCAGTGAGCTGAGATCCGGCCACTGCACTCCAGCCTGGGTGACAGAGAGACTCCGTCTCAAAAAAAAAAAAAAAAAAAATTAGCCGGTGTGGGGGCCCATGCCTGTAGTTCCAGCTACTCAGGAGGCTGAGGCAGGAGAATCGCTTGAACCTGGGAGGTGGAGGTTGCAGTGAGCCTAGATTGCACCACTGCATGCCTGGGCGACAGAGCAAGACTGTCTCAAAAAAAAAAAAAAAAATTTATTAAGAATTTCTACTTGGGGCCGGGCACAGTGGCTGACACCTGTAATCCCAGCGCTTTGAGAGGCTGAGGTGGGTGGATCACCTGAGGTCAGGCGTTCCAGACCAGACTGGCCAACATGGTGAAACCTAGTCTCTACTAAAAATACAAAACTTAGGCCAGGCGTGGTGGCTCATGTCTATAATCCCAGCATTTTGGGAGGCCAAGGCAGGTGGATCACCTGAGGTCAGGAGTTCAAGACCAGCCTGACCAATATGGTAGAACCCTGTCTCTGCGTGCACCTGTAATCCCAGCTACTCAGGAGTCTGAGACAGGAGAATTGCTTGAACCCAGGAGGCGGAGGTTGTAGTGAGCCGAGATCATGCCACTGCACTCCAGCCTGGGCAACAGAGCAGGACTCTGTCTCAAAAGAAAAAAAAAATACAAAAATTAGCCACGCATGGTGGTGTGTAGTCCTCCAGCTACTCAGGGGGCTGAGGCAGGAGAATCACTTGAACCTGGGAGGCAGAGGTTGCAGTGAGCCAAGATTGCGCTATTGCACCCCAGCCTGGGCAACAGAGAGAAACTATCTCAAGAAAAAAAAAAAAAAATTTGAGAGACTGGGGTGGGAGGATCGCTTGAATCAAGAAGGTCAAGGCTGCAGTGAATTGCACCACTGCACTACAACCTGGGCGACAGAGTGAGACCCACAAAGAAAACTTTCTAGAGCACAACGGCAGAGCATTCAATTACCGTACAGAGCGCAGGCTGCCTGCTCTTGAAGCTGCCCTTGGCTACAGGGTCTGCAGACCCTACCCCTCCTTCCAGACCACACAGGGGTCCCTATAGTGCTTCAGTGGACCAGCCTCACTCTGGGGCACACAGCTTGGAGAGCGTCAGCTGGGCTGGATGGCCCCCTAGCCAGGTAATCTGCACAGCTGACCTTCCCAGCCTTGATCACAGACCCCTACAAGAAAGTGAGGGCCTCTGATAAAGCCCAGGACAGGGCCTGAGTAGGTGCTCCATGAACATCTGCTGCGTGAACCGGGATTCCTAAGGTGCTTTCAGCTGGGACACTCCAGTATCTTAACCCTGGGGTCCTGGCACCCATGGGAAGGGAGCCCCCAGGGAAAGGTTAGTGAGCTGGGTGGGCTGACCTCGGCAGGGTGGAGGTGGGGTCCCATCCCAGCAGCAAACACCCCTGGGAAAGAGCTTAGGGACCACACACAGGAGGGACCTGGCCTGGTCTGGGGATCGAGGGTCCTCCCCCAGGACCTAGCAGTAAGTCAATGCCTGCAGGTGATTCAGCAGGAACTGGAGGAGTGGGGTGGGAACTGCAGGAAGAGGGCACGTGTGTGCTGAGGCCCTGAGGCTGGGAGGGGAGGGAGGCAAGCTGCTGGGGCCAGGTCCCAGGGGCCTCTAGGCCAGGAGGGCACTGGGTTTATTCTAAGCAGCATGAGAATCTGCAGGGTTTCAAGTTGGGGAAGAGCATGGTGGGATTTGGTTGTTGACTGACTCACTGACCTACTGGGTTCTGCACTCTGCTCTGGCTGGGGACCCCCACCTGTCCACCCCATCGGCTCAGACAGACAGAGGTTTGGCCCCCTCAGGATATCGGAAAACTGCCCCAGTCCCCAGTCCTGCCCACTCGTAAACGGTTCCCTGAGGGCTTGTACAGTGCCTGGCATGAGGCCCTGGAGCCAGGGGGCAGCAGGCCTGAGCTTATCAGGCTGTGGCCTCCGGGAGCAGAAACAACCTTCCGCCCAGGGACTTAGTACCTAAAGCGGGAGGAGACACAGGACGGGGCAGCAGGCAGGGCCTGGTCCAGCCAGCAACTCCGGGAACTCGGCCACAGGGTCAGTGCTGCCCCCCAGGCCCAGCTGTGCCAAGCCTGCTCCCTCATCTGATAACCCCCCACAGCACCGGCCACATGGGTTGCTGGCCCTGCCTCCCTCGTGGTTCCTTCCCAACAGCCCCAGGAGCAGGGCGCACCCACAATTCCCACTGTTCAGATGAAGACAACAAGGCTGGTGAGGTGAGGTCACTTGCCCCAGGTCACAGAGCCAGAAGAGGTAGCCCCATTGCCTAGTCTTTCAGACAGGAAGAACATTCCTTCCCAACCCCGCCCTTAGGAGACGCAACCCTGCGCCAGTTTTGCTCTGTGACCTTGGGTCAGTGGCTCCACCTATCTGAGCCTCTGGTTTTGGTTTTCTTTTTGGTGTTTTTATTGGGTTTTATTGAGATGGCATCTTGCTCTGTCACCCAGGCTGGAGTGACTGGTATCCACCTGAGTCCCTGATGTTCAGCTTGGGACTTGATACCTACCATGGGGCTGATGCCCACTTGCCCAGGGCATAAGTATTCACCTTGGAGCCACCAGTATTCACCTGAGGGCCTGATGTACACACCTGGGGC